TGCACAGTTTACTATAGCAGTGGTGAATAAGGACCCAAAGAAATCAAAATATTCTGGTTAGTTCTGTTACATTGCTTTTCAAGTTTTTGTTGTTACCACTTACCTTAACTAGTGAAATAAAAAAAAATATATATATATGTTGTCCAGATACATTACATCGGTTCTGGAAGAAAGAACATGACTGGGGATGGAAAAAGTTCATGGAGCTTTCTAAAGTATTAGATGGTTTTATTGACTCTGACACTCTCATAATAAAGGCACAAGTTCAAGTGATTAGGTAATTTCTGATCATGATTAATAATGATTATTAATCCTAGATCGCTGATAAATTCTTGCAAATTCTGTGTGATGTTCTATTTTCCTTGCTTTCTAGCATGTTAAGTATGTTTCCAATGGTAATCAATGACCCTTATGTTTTATCAACGGAACGTCGACAGACTCAAAGTCCATTACATGTCACACTCAAACTAAAAAAGTTTTAGTTCTTTAAATATTTTTTAGGCTACCTCCTTATTACCAGACAACTGCTATTTTCATTTGTTCAGTTAGTTAAATGAATTCATTCTTATTATTATTTTTAGTTTTGAATGCTTGAACTGTTTCGTCTTCTAGGCCCCTACCGAAAGAAAGGAAAAAAAGAGTTCATAGTCTAAGTTGGTCTTTAGTCAAAACCCTATATTGGCCACAGTTTGACTGGGATGTCTAAGTTTTCATTGGGTTTTCTCTTTGGAAATGAAACCTTCGAGTCTTGAGTTCTCAAATATGTTTGAAATTTCATGTGTCTGAATTTTGTCTTGCAGGGAGAGAGCTGACCGGCCTTTTCGTTGCCTTGATTGTCAATATAGGAGAGAACTTGTTAGGGTTTATTTGNCCCTTAATTAAAAAACCTACCGGCAACCTATTCCTAAAACACGAATATAAAAAATAACAACAATAATAATAAAACACAAAGATTCGTGTTTTTTCTCGGCATTTTTATTTTTGTTTATTTAAAAAATAATAATTATTATTTTCCAAGACAAAATGGAGTTTATTTTTTAATTTAATTAAATTATGATTTTCCTTTTGGGTTCCGCCTTACCTCTCTCTTTCTATCTCTATTTTTCTTCTCCTTCGACCTTCTTCCTTTTTTCTAGTTCTCTCTCTTTCCGTCTCTGTCTTCCCCCATTTTTCTCTCTCTGTCTCCCTTCAGACACTCTCAGCTTCCATTGCCTCTTCTCCCACCTCTGCCACTCCTCCAAGGTTTGTATGCTCACCTGATCTCCCCGATGTTCTATCGAACATCGTTCATTTCGCTTTTTCTTTTCCTCCCAATTCTTTTCTCCCTTTTGCTGTAGGGTTTTAATTGGATTGGGGGTTTTTCATCCCGATTGCCTTTCTCCGATCATCGCTTATTATAACAATGATTACTTCCCTTTCTTCCCGAGGTTTATGTTTCTCTGATGTTCTCCTATTTTGGAGGTTTTCATGTTTGTTTTCCGTTTCTTTTCTCTAGCTCTTGTCGGCTTGTTTTTCTTCTGGGGTTCGTGTTTAGCTTAATTATTGACTCACCTTCTGAATCTTTCGACTTTAAGAGTGATGGTTTTTTTTGTTGATACCAGGTAGGTTATATTGGGTTTCAACAGCTGTAAGAAGAGGGGTCGGTTTGGTTTCATTTGAAATTAACGAGATTGAATGAAAATGATTTTTGGGCGTTCTGAAAAGACTGATACCTGTATTAACTCTATGTGTTATTTTCCCCTGGTTTTGATTTTGACGTCTCCTGGTGTTTTGCATCATTTAGTTGGAGGAGCAGATTGTGAGCAGAGTTATTTCTCTTGAGAAGAAGATGGCTGGTGCCGTTAGTGATGAGGCTATAGGGATGAGGTCTGTGGAGAGTTTTGCAAATGGGCATCACAGTCAGTCTGGAGAAGCATTGGCTGAATGGAGGTCTTCTGAGCAAGTGGAAAATGGAACGCCATCAACTTCACCGCCATACTGGGACACCGATGATGATGAAGAAGAAGAAGAAGCTGGTATGCTTGTTATTTGTGCTTCCATACTTGTTTTTTCTGTGATTTATATTTGCGGGAGTGCTTTGTCTAGCAATGAGATTCTCCTAGAAGCTCTTAAGTAAGCTGGAACAAGTGCAATGAACAGGGAAAAGTTGTGAAATATTATGGGCTCTTTAGATTTCTCATGATAGAAGCTTGGACAATGAATTCTGACATATCTAATCTGCGTGAGGTGCATCAATTGATGTTTCATATCAGTCATGTACATGGCCAGAACCTTATGATAGCTCATTTCGTTTTAACTTTTGTGATATTTATTTTGTGTATCTTGGTCTCTTATTTCAAATATCTGGGTTGTGGTGTTGATCTCTTTCTCTGATCCCTCTCTCCCTTCTCACGATAGCTGTTCTGGTTTGTATTGTGCTAAAAAAGTTGCCGCTTGGATGATTTAATATATCAGATATCTTCATACTCTGTAAACATTTACTCATATTTCTATCCCATCTTTTTTGTAGGAACAAAACCTTCTGAATTGTATGGAAAACATACATGGAAGATAGAAAAATTTTCTCAACTTAACAAACGAGAACTCAGAAGTAATGCATTTGAGGTTGGGGGCTACAAATGGTATGTGAATTTTCTATCCCTTCTGAAATATTCAACAGTTTGTGGTTTTCTTTTTTGTATGTCGCGTGTATTTTTTACATGGAATTCCAGGCCAATATCTTCGCATCCTTCTACTGACCTGATAACTTTTTTTTTTTTATCCTTTTGATGTCTGAAATTATATTTTACTCTGGGATGTTATATCTTCAATTATTGATTGATTCTCGTTCTTAGTTTCTCATCGTGGTGTTCAATCTGACTTACTTTGGTAGTGGTAGTCAATATCCTACTAGAAAGTTGAGAACTATTTTTGTGTGATATTAATGAGAAAATTTTTGATGCCTTTGTTTCTATATGCACTTTTCTCCACATGACGATGGTTGAGGATTGATCCATTAGTAGTGGCAAAATACCTATGGATTTATGCATGTTTCTTGTATGAACATGCATTTTGGAAATTGGTCACCCACACACCTACCTTTAGTTTTGATAAGCTGTACAATCTTGTTGCAGGTACATTTTAATATATCCTCAGGGCTGTGATGTCTGCAATCATCTCTCTCTGTTTCTTTGTGTCGCAAATCATGATAAACTCCTTCCAGGTACTGTTCTGTTTGAATTGTATTTATTAAGCACTATCCTTATTTTCAATTTGTTTAATCACCTTCAATATCTTTTCTTTGCTAAACAGGTTGGAGCCATTTTGCACAGTTTACTATAGCAGTGGTGAATAAGGACCCAAAGAAATCAAAATATTCTGGTTAGTTCTGTTACATTGCTTTTCAAGTTTTTGTTGTTACCACTTACCTTAACTAGTGAAATAAAAAAAAAAATATATATATATGTTGTCCAGATACGTTACATCGGTTCTGGAAGAAAGAACATGACTGGGGATGGAAAAAGTTCATGGAGCTTTCTAAAGTATTAGATGGTTTTATTGACTCTGACACTCTCATAATAAAGGCACAAGTTCAAGTGATTAGGTAATTTCTATTATGATTAATAATGATTATTACTCCTAGATCGCTGATATATTCTTGCAAATTCTGTGTGATGTTCTATTTTCCTTGCTTTCTAGCATGTTAAGTATGTTTCCAATGGTAATCAATGACCCTTATGTTTTATCAACGGAACGTCGACAGACTCAGAGTCCATTGCATGTCACACTCAAACTAAAAAAGTTTTAGTTCTTTAAATATTTTTTAGGCTACCTCCTTATTACCAGACAACTGCTATTTTCATTTGTTCAGTTAGTTAAATGAATTCATTCTTATTATTATTTTTAGTTTTGAAAGCTTGAACTGTTTCGTCTTCTAGGCCCCTACCGAGAGAGGAAAAAAAGAGTTCATAGTCTAAGTTGGTCTTTAGTCAAAACCCTATATTGGCCACAGTTTGACTGGGATGTCTAAGTTTTCATTGGGTTTTCTCTTTGGAAATGAAACCTTTGAGTCTTGAGTTCTCAAATATGTTTGAAATTTCATGTGTCTGAATTTTGTCTTGCAGGGAGAGAGCTGACCGGCCTTTTCGTTGCCTTGATTGTCAATATAGGAGAGAACTTGTTAGGGTTTATTTGACAAATGTTGAGCAGATATGCCGACGTTTTGTGGAAGAGAGAAGAAGTAAGCTGGGGAAGCTGATAGCTGATAAAGCTCGATGGTCAAGGTAGTCTTGTTTTTCATTGTTTATCACTCACTCAATTACATTAGAAAAATTGATCGTGAGTACTATCTGTAAACAAGGTGTCTGGAATCTATTCTAGAGACTTTTCATTGTTATTGGATCCTCTGAGTTTGTGAAGGAAAATATTATAAATATTTGTCTACTTTTTTCCTTAGATCAGAAGCTGTATATAAGGTAGACATCTACAAGGGAATCAGAATTAAGGCATCCTTTACGTTAAAAATAATTAGAAAAACAGAATTGAAGGTTCTCCGGAAGATTTGCATGATCATACTGTGAATTTAATCAGTTTGACATATCCCTGTCCCGTAGTGAATGAATTTGTTTATACCTAATTTCAAGGACTTTTTGTGGGACGTATTTTTCATACGGAGATTTTTAAGAAGAGAGAGACTTTCTGCAGGCTCTTCATGGAGGTGATTCTCTGGAGCCATTGATTGGAAGGGAGTGTGAACCTTTGTAAATATGTTGTCCACTCAGCAGATCCTTTATAAACTTGTTGTTTGAGTTTCTAGATGATGCTGTCTCTTTTAGAGCTTTTGTAATTGCGATCTTTTGATATTGAAGTCAATTGGAGAGTTTCTGTAACTTCTATGGCTAAGTAGGCTTCCGCTTTCTCTCCTTTCTATTACCCTCACTTTTGGATGAAATACTTGGCTCCTTTCCCCAAATGAATAAACCAACCGAAGGAAAACGTTGAAATTCTCTTTAAATGAAATCTTACACCGAAGTCCCTGAAAAGTTTGTACTACAAAATTCTCTCAGTCTAGGTACAAATTAAAGCGTTCCATGTTCTTATCCCTGAAAAGTTTGTACTACAAAATTCTCTCAGTCTAGGTACAAATTAAAGCGTTCCATGTTCTTATGCATATATTACCAAGTTTAGACATTTTCTTTTTGTGTATTAAGAAAATCCCTTCTGCAAATAGAAGCGTTGCATATCATTATCTCTCTAACCAAATGTACCACAACAACGCTCTAGCTGCATAATTCCACAAAAATTGCATATCATTATCTCTCTAACCAAATGTACCACAACAACGCTCTAGCTGCATAATTCCACAAAAATTTTGCCTTTTTGGATCTTCCACCCTGAGAAAACTTCATTATCACATATTATTGTTGTTATTATTATTAGTGACTTTTTTATTGACTATCATTTTTATTTCTTACAGTTTTCGAGCTTTCTGGTTGGGAATTGACCAGAATGCTAGGCGACGCATGTCTAGGGAAAGGACCGATGCAATTCTAAAAGTTGTTGTAAAACACTTCTTTATTGAGAAGGAGGTGACATCTACTTTAGTAATGGACTCATTATACAGTGGATTGAAGGCTCTTGAAGGGCATACCAAGAATAAGAAGGGGAAAGCAAAACTATTAGATGCTGAAGAGATGCCAGCTCCAATAGTTCACATAGATAAAGACACATTTGTTTTGGTGGATGATGTTCTATCTCTGCTCGAGAGGGCTGCTAGTTCACATAGATAAAGACACATTTGTTTTGGTGGATGATGTTCTATCTCTGCTCGAGAGGGCTGCTGTGGAACCATTACCACCAAAAGATGAGAAAGGCCCACAAAATCGTACAAAGGTGAATGCCTGATCAATAATGCTCGTCAAAATCTTTAGGGTTAAAAGTGGATAGGTCTGGGGTACAAGTAAAATGATAGTTATGTTATTTGATTTGTTTGTTACCCTATTTTTATGACGATAATGGTTATGTTAGTCCTGATAACAAACTTGTGAGTTAAATTGTGGCCAGACACCTCTTGGTGACGAATACACAATTCTTTTTGCATTGATTTTATGATTGGTTAGGAACAAGGATTCTTAAGTCATAATTCACATACCTAATAATGTTGGAGTTGGCTGAATAAACCATAAACTCTGTCTGCAGGATGGTAGCTCTGGAGAAGACTTTACCAAAGATTCCATTGAACGTGATGAAGGGCGTCTTACAGAACTGGGTCGTAGGACTGTGGAAATATTTGTTCTTGCCCATATATTTAGGTATTGTGCTTTTATTATCTCTTCACATAATCCAGCAACTCTTGTCTTTTGCCTTATTCTGCAAATGTGATCTGAAATAGTACAGTTTTATGTCCAAAACTAGTTTTCTGGAAGCCTTGTTTCAACTAGTGTACTAGCATGTAATAACTTCATAAATGTCGGAAAATTCTTTCAATTCCTTTACTTGTCATTGAGGATGCTATTTTTGCATTAGCTTACTGTCGTTGTCTTAAAAAAAACAATTCCTTTACTTGTCATTGAGGATGCTATTTTTGCATTAGCTTACTGTCGTTGTCTTAAAAAAAATTATATAGCGAAGGCCAATGATTGCCATAAAGATGTTGCGAAAAAGTGTTGGCTTTTGTGGCATGTTCTCTCAGGAAAAATTTATGTTTTAGTGTTGCACAAATGTCTTCCCTAAGTTTATTGAAAAAAGAAGCTTGCTGCATGATTCTCAGTTTCTCAAATCAAATATGATTCAAATTGCTAACTTGAAGTTGAATGGTATATTTACTTTTCTCTCCTTACTCAGCAGTAAAGTTGAAGTTGCCTATCAGGAGGCAGTTGCATTGAAAAGGCAAGAGGAACTCATTCGTGAAGAAGAGGCAGCATGGCAGGCTGAAAGTGAACAAAAGGCGAGACGATTAGCTTCAGAAAAGGATAAGAAATCGAAGAAAAAACAGGTGTCACATCAGTCGAATTATTAACTCTCTTTTAATCCATTTTCCTCCGGCCTTACTCTTTTTTCCAATGTTCTATCAGTCGAATTATTAACTCTCTTTTAATCCATTTTCCTCCGGCCTTACTCTTTTTTCCAATGTTCTTTTCTGCCTGTACCGATCTATCTTGTTATCAATAATTTCCTCATTATCTTATGTCGTTTCTTTCAACAGGCTAAACAAAAACGAAATAACCGCAAAAGCAAGGATAAAGGGAGAGAAGAACGGGCAAATGTGGCTGCACTGACAAAAACGAAATAACCGCAAAAGCAAGGATAAAGGGAGAGAAGAACGGGCAAATGTGGCTGCACTGATCAGAGAACAAGTAAATCCTTGCAATGGGAAGGAGGAAGATGCCATAGTGGATGAGGTGCAGCCCGTGCTTGAAAAGTCTGACTTACCTGAAGTTGTATCGGATGTCTCTGATTCAGTTGAAGGGGTTGGCGAAGTACTTCAGCCTGATTCAGAAGACAGAGATGCCAATGCTGTTAATTCGGACACGGACACATCAGAAGTTCATCCTTCAACGGAAGCAAGTAGCAGTGGCATTGGTAGTCTGTCTTCTGCACAAACGCCCTTATCCGACAAGAAGCTGTCTATCATGGATGATAGCTCTTCTACATGTTCTACTGATTCTATTCCATCTGTGGTAATGAATGCGTCTTATAAGGAGAATTCCTTTCACAACTACAAAAAGCAGAAATCACCTAGCATGTAAGTGATCAGATATTTCTTTGTAAATGCCTCAGGATATGTAGTGATCTGCATATTTGATTTTGCAGAGGAAAGAATCGGCAGAAGGATGTAGTATATGATCGGAGCTTCTGTGCCAACGACGTGGATAGTCAGTCATCAGTGATTACAGCTGGCATAGAAGACCAAAGTGATGCTTGTGGTAGTAACAAGTCTAAAAAGTCTGATCCTATGGCCGTTAATCATTCTCCCCGGGGTAAAATGAAAAGGGTCGAACAGCAGGCTGCTAAGAAGGTCGCACCTAACCCGTTTCAAATATATAAATATAAAACTTCTAGACTGAATAAAATGAAATGGCACATCAAACTCGAGGGAAAAAAGAAAGAAAAAAAGAAGAGCGTCGGTAGATGTTGCCACGTTCAGGCTGCGTTCCTTTATTTGTTATTGACGTGGTGTGTTATTTTGTGTTCAAATTTTTCTTGAGACTAATTTCTAAATTACTATCATGTTTAATTGGTTCAAGTTCAGACTTTTTCAGTTTCGAGTTTGAGAACGGACTTGGAAGGATAATTCATATTTGATCAAATATTTGTAGTGTCGTGTCCATTTTTAACTTTTAGTTTGTTCTTTCTGTAGGAAGAAAAGGCTATTTCGTTGCCGAAGGAACAAAGCTCTAAAAACCAGGTCGATATGGAAAGGATACTTAGAGATGCGTCGGCAGCTGTACCATCCTCCCCTCAGAACCACCAGGATCATTTGCCATCGATTGTTGAACAGAGGTTAAGCAATCAGAGTATTGGTACTGTTGATCCCATTCAAATTAATCCATCTTCCTCAACTAGCGTGGAGAAGGCTGTGCCTGTAACCTCAGCCTATGTGGTAAGTGCAATAAAATCAGAGGCTCAGAAGTCTACAATTCCAAAACCAACTGAAAAGGCTACCTCACAGCAATCTCCTATGATGTCAAGGCCTTCTAGTGCACCTCTCAAAACCAACTGAAAAGGCTACCTCACAGCAATCTCCTATGATGTCAAGGCCTTCTAGTGCACCTCTAATTCTCGGTCCAAGAGCTGCAGCACCCGTTGTTAATGTGGTTCATACATCCCCATTGCTTGCTCGTTCCGTGAGTGCAGCTGGTCGGTTAGGTCCAGACCTTGCTCCAGCAACACATAGTTATGCTCGCTCGTTCCGTGAGTGCAGCTGGTCGGTTAGGTCCAGACCTTGCTCCAGCAACACATAGTTATGCTCCCCAGTCTTATAGGAATGCCATAATTGGAAACCATGCAGCTCCCAGCGGTGCTGGATATGTTCATCTGAGCACTTCATCCTCAGGCGTGAGCCCATCTTCAGCCTTCTCTTTGACATCTGCTATGGTTTCTTCACCCATGTTTGTACCACACAACTCTGACAGGTCGGATCTGAGTGCTGTTAGATCGAATTTTCCTTTTGGTATGGTAACTCGAGATGTCTTACCGAACAGTCCCCAGTGGGTAGAGGGTTCACAGAGGGAAGCTGTTAGGAGCATGCATTACAATTCTTCTCTACTGTCCCCAGTGGGTAGAGGGTTCACAGAGGGAAGCTGTTAGGAGCATGCATTACAATTCTTCTCTACTTGATGATGTTCAAGATTTATACAAGAAACAAATTCGTGGTTCGACACATGAACTTCTGTCAGCAGAGCTCTCAGCTTGTACATCTGGTCGACAGCTCCAAGGTTTCGCTGAGGAGTTCCCTCACCTTGGCAGAGCTCTCAGCTTGTACATCTGGTCGACAGCTCCAAGGTTTCGCTGAGGAGTTCCCTCACCTTGATATAATCAACGATCTTCTTGATGACGAAAACATTGTTGGGATTTCATCTAGAGACGGCTCAATGTTCAACTCTCTTGGCAATGGCCCAAGTCTGTTGAACAGACAGTTCTCTCTTCCTGGTGACATGGTGGGGAAGGCTGGCGATGTAGGGTCCTCCACGAGCTCTTGCAGGTTCGAGCGGACACAGAGTTATCAAAATGGCAGGTTCCAATGGGGGTATGGCTCTTCCATCAGTCGTTATCGAGCGGACACAGAGTTATCAAAATGGCAGGTTCCAATGGGGGTATGGCTCTTCCATCAGTCGTTACGAACCAGGCATGGATTTTATTCCACCTTCGAGTCAACAACAGCAGCACTTAAATGGCCAGATTGATGGGTTGATTCCAAATTGGCGCGCAGCTTCTGATCTCTCTGTACTTGGGACAAGGTCTTTAGATTGATGGGTTGATTCCAAATTGGCGCGCAGCTTCTGATCTCTCTGTACTTGGGACAAGGTCTTTAGACTTTGATGGTTACCAATATCTTAACCCAGAATACTCAAATATGGCCCATGGCATCAATGGCTACAGTGCGTTTCGACCGTCAGATGGGCACTGACTAACGTAAGAAGCAAACATGGCCGGAATTTGCCTTGCCTTGCGTAGAGTTCGTGAGTACTATCCACTGTAATAATGTACCAGGAAGTTGTTGGGGTCTTGGATTTGGAGTGGGGTTGCTATCCTTCTCATAAGAACACAATTTGTAAAGAGTGTTTTTCCCACCTCTTTTAGCCTTAAATACAAATTTAGTCGTGTTGTTGAGGTTTCGATTACTACCCTTTTCGAGTTTTCTCCCTATTTACTCAACTGGTTAAAGCGCTCGTACACGAACAATATCCTGAAATCTCACCACAGACAAATCCCTGTTGCTAAACTGGTTAAAGCGCTCGTACACGAACAATATCCTGAAATCTCACCACAGACAAATCCCTGTTGCTAAACGAGCAAAGCAAAACAAAGTTCTTCCCTTTTGACTCTTGCTGGAAACTTCCTCGAGCGAACCCCGTCTCGAGGAGTTTAATGTAAGAAAAGTTGAGTTTGTTGACGGGGTTCGCTCAAGAAAGTCTTTAGCTTTCGGCTCGTTCTTATAATGTTGCTATACATCATGCCTTATGCATACATATCATATCATCAATGTTATCAATTCAAAGATAACTTGCCATATTAGTAGTTAGGACAGGACGCATTTGCTTATGTCGAGGTTTTGGTCAAAACCTTGCAGCTTGTAGAATTATCCAAAAGTTGACACTGTTCTTGTTACTATAAATATCATTGCAAAACCCCATCAACAAACTCAACTTTTCTTACATTAAACTCCTCGAAACGGAAAAAAAAACAAATACAAATATGGGAGTTCTGCACATAACTCTGTCAATGGCTTTCATTCTTTTTCTCTTGCAGCTTCTGCCAAACGCAGCTGGTAGGACACTGCATGAGAAGCCAGCAATGGTGAGAAGAAAGGAACTGGAACTGGAGATGAAGTTGAAGCTGCAGTCTCTTCAGAGGGTCAGAGTGCCACCCTCTGGCCCCTCCGGTTGCACGTTCATTCCCGGCACCAACGGCCCTGGCTGTCCTCTCGAAGTGAGACACTACGCTGGCAACGGTTCAAAGCAACGTCCGAGCACACTCGGTCACTATGCCACCCCTGTTCGTGTCGTCGAGGCTCTCATCTGAAGCTCTACCCCATCTGCTTTCTTCCATTCAGAATGCAAACAGTTGGTTTTATTGTCCCACTTGGATTCTTGGAAGCTAGAAGATCAGTTAGCCATCATGTAACATATCGAATTCATTGCAAGATTGCTTTGTTATTTGTGTTCTTGTAATCTAAATAACCAAAATCTGTATGTCAATAGAAATTGAATATATTGTTTCAAACTCAAAATAAAATCATTTTAAGTGTATCCATCGTACAAATCTAAAAATGTCCATTTAATTCGTAGGTCTCAAATGGAGCAAAAACTAACAAGGTTGGAGATGGAGATATATTTTTCGTCTACGTCCCTGATTCAGCCACGTCCCCATCCATATATATATATATATATATATATATAGAAAAAAATATTAAAAATTTAGGATTGAAATGGAATTACGTATTGGAATTGGAATGGTGAAGTTTGGTTATTTTAGGCAGAGGAAAAGAACATGAAAAAATAAATATAATATAATATAATCCCATTACTTTCCCCACATAATCATTTACATTAATTTTTTTAAATATCTAAACTTTATTATTTGGAATTTTTGTGTACTAATTCCATGCGTGTACGCATTGTTTGGTGACCCTTCAATTTAATAACGATATCACTTTTATTAAATTTTACTCTAAAATTTTCAAAATCTGATTTTTATTATTATTATTTAAAAATGATCATTCCGGCATATAATAAAACTTATTTTATTTAGTAATTGGGGTAATGGGCTTGGGCCTTCCCGTAGCTAAGAGAAATATATTTTTATAGTGGGCTTGGGATTGGGCTTGGTCTTGGGCCTCAGCCTATTCGAGGTGGGCTTACAACAAGTCCACGCTTATTGACCCAAATCCGAACCCGATTACAGCGGAAGTCCTTGGTGACGGGGGTTCCCTCCTCCAAAATGACGGCCTTCACGTTCGGATTTTCCCTCTCGATAATGGCCTTGGCGACTGAGCCGCCCACCCCCACTAGATGCGGCCATGAGCTCTTCCCTGGGCGCCAAAACACATCTCCTAAGACACACACACAGACACAGAGACAAAGAGAAGCGAGGATCATAAGTTGTGAGTCTATTACCTGGACATGAAGACATCTTTTTCTCTCTTTCTTTTACTGCTCTAAGTGCTTATGTTTCGGTTTCCGAGATCGATGATATTTATACTACTCTCACCTACTCCATATGTTCGTCGTTGTAGCATAGCGGTGAGTGTTGTCCTACCTATCCTCATTTTGGGGCATTAAATTATTTTTATTGTTATGTGGTGTTGAATTCAATTATTTTGACCTAATATTCATTAGATATTACATGCCAAGAAATGATTTAATGCACATAAATTCATTATTCAAAAATTCAAACGTGTTGACATTAATAAAATCAAACTACATTAAAAATAATATGACAGATAGTTCGTAATAAAATGAATAAAAATCAAATATAAATCAACGTAAAATAAAAGTAAAAGATGATAATCTCTTGGTCCGACCAATACACATTCAAAAAAGATTGCTATATAACTTTATAAATGGTACAAGCTAGAACTTTCAAACTAGGATAATACTCGGGTATAGGTTGACAATCTTCTATATTGATAATATTCATTTTAGTCTAACAACTCTAATTCTGATTGTTTTGTTTGAAAGTAAATCACGGAGCAATTCATCCCACTCAAACTTTTACGATTAAGAAACACTAAATTTTTCATTTGAATAGGCCGATAGAAACTTCTTTCAAACTCCTTAAGAGAAGGGTGAAGATATGCCAATTTATGCCATTTCAATAAGATTCTAAAATAACACAAAGTTATGTCATTGGAAACAACGAGTTCTCGTTCACTTAACATAAGAAATTACATATCGATTTTAACAAACTATTCCTTCACTAATTTTCGTGTATTGGAGCGGAGGAAGGAGATTAAGAGAATAATAAAAGGAGATTAAGACCATTTTAATATCTATTAATAGTGTGGTTACATTATTAAAAAAATTCCAACGAATATTATTAAAAAAATTTGAAAATTAAAATGTATTTTTTTTAGATCAACAATAATTTTTTAAAAAATGATTCATATATATATATATATATTAAAAAAAGAAGAATAAATAAAGAATTCATCGTACAACCAAGTGAATGTCACAGTCAGCTCACACGAGTAATTGTAAAGGCGAGCGTCGAATTTGCAGCACCCAGCGGACGAGTCACGGGCCGGTTTATCCCCGATTCCATCACCACTTCCCTTCCCTTGGAGTCCAATCATTGTCCTCCCCCGCTATCATCACCCACCATGCTTCCTCTTCACCAATGCATCGCCCCCCTCCTACTTCACTTCATCTTCCTCGCACCTTTTTCCTTAGCCTTAGCTCAGAATCATGAGGACCCAACCATCAGAACCATGGAGGCTTTCTCCGGCTATACTCTTCACGAACCCTCCTCCTCTTCTATCCCAAACCCCATTTCTTCTCTCCTCGTCGATGCGGATTCCTTGGTGAAACAGGTATGGACGTAAATGGATCCTAATCGTACTGGGTTTTCATCGGATATATTAGTTAATTAATTGTTTTGCGGATTTGGGCATTTAGATTGAGGAGCTTTCTACTTTCTCGGATTCTCCTTCCCCATCGGTTACCAGGATTCTTTACTCTGAAAACGATGTATTGGCGCGAAGGCATGGACTCCGGCTGTTCATCCAATTTCTTTGTATTTCTTCTGTGTTCATTCCAAAATGAGAATGATTATGTGCTTGCAGGTATGTCAAGAACTTGATGGGGCTCTCTGGTCTCTTTGTTAGAGAGGATGCTGTCGGTAACATATTCGGCAGATGGTGAGTGAATCTGCAATGGTCACCCATGTCATTAGTATAGTAGTATTATGCATGAGATCTCTAGTCTTGTTTACTTTATGCAGGGAGGGCTCTGAACCAGAGCTTCCTGCCGTTGCAACAGGCTCTCATGTTGATGCAATTCCTTTCTCTGGCAAATACGATGGAGTTGTTGGTGTATTGGGTGCTTTAGAAGCCATCAATGTCTTGAAAAGGTTTGATATCCTACTTTTACTAAAGGGTCTCTCAAACTAAATGGAACGAAACAAGCCAACTGTAGCCGATATTGTCCACTTTAGGATTTTTCTTTCGGGCTTCCCCTCATCTTCTAAGTAGAGGTTTCCACTGATGGTCCGTTCTCTTCCCACCCAACCAGATTCCAAACCAGATAAAATCTTTGTAGTTTTCAAGGGGCTGACTTAGAATTTGGCAGGTCGGGGTTCAAACCAAAGAGGTCTCTTGAAATTATCTTCTTTACCTCTGAGGAACCTACACGCTTTGGAATCAGCTGCTTGGGTAGCCGCTTGATGGCAGGGAGTGATGCACTTGCTAAAGCTTTGGAGACAACTGTTGATGCTCAGAATATATCTTTTATTGAAGCTGCTAGCTCTGCTGGGTACTTGACTGATTCAGCTCAGATATCAACGGTGTTTCTGAAGAAAGGAAGTTACTCTGCGTTCCTGGAATTGCACATAGAGCAGGGGCCCATTCTGGAGGAAGAAGGTATATCTATAGGAGTAGTGACTGCCATTGCAGCTCCTGCTAGTATAAAGGTGGAGTTTGAAGGCACTGGAGGCCATGCCGGTGCTGTACTGATGCCATATAGGTGAAATTATATAGCCATCAACATTTCTTTGTTTTTTTTTTTTTTCATCAGACAATTGGAATCCAAACTTGTTCTTATTTCATTAGAAATGACGCTGGACTGGCAGCAGCTGAGCTAGCACTAGCAGTTGAGAAGCATGTATTGAGCTCTGGATCCATCGATACTGTCGGTACCGTTGGTAATTCTTCATAACCAAGTGTTTATTATGTCTTGTCCTAGCATCATCCTATATCTGCCCACTTTTCAGAACATGATCTTGATTAAATGGAACTTTTCAAGGTATTCTGGAGCTTCATCCTGGAGCAATCAACAGCATCCCAAGCAAATCACATCTGGAAATAGGTTGAGATTTTGTTGTAACTCTTGATTATCTTGTTTAGCTGCATGATGGCCGTGTACTTCATCTTCATTGTTTTTTCTTGTCTGGTAACAGACACCAGAGA